AGGTAGGTACGTCTAATGTACACGCGTGTATAAATCAAATCCATCTGGTACACAATATAATATATATATACTCGTATAAGATAATATTATATGACTCGTACGATCTGCACAAAGAGAACGAGCGCCACACCCATTGCGCGCGGGGCAGCAGTTATTAAATTGTTGTTGTTCTTTGAAGACGAAACGGCAGCGGCTCCGCAGAAGTAAAAGCCAGTGGAAATCCAGCAGCTGCATATGATATTATATATTTTAAATCCTCATTATCCTTTGCCTCCGTGCGTACAGCACACATGATAATAATACTGTGTACGATAGAAATTCGCGGTGGCTGCGATGGTGTTGCTGTGCAGGTTATTACGTATTATATAGGTATAGAAGACTCTACTGGGAAGACGGATCGGCTTAAAAAGTTAAAAATGAATGAATCCAAAGAGGAAAACATCCGTATAGGTTGGCGTATTTACCGATTAAAAAGAAAATATAAATATAAAGAAGGAGAAAAATCTCATCACATTTATCCCGTTAAACAGATGGTTCTCGAAGAAGAGCGTATGCTGCAGTAAATCGATTATGTGTCGTTCGTTCGGATAAATATAATATAATATACCTATATATTGTATAGCTATACGCACACCGAATGTTTGATCGCGTTTCCGTCTATTAAATTATGAATGATGAGTTTTTACGCAACATTAATATATATGCATATTATATATTTTCCATCCGAGTGCCTATACCTCGCGTAAATATATATATATTAGACTTATATGCGCCGACGTCGTCTACCGTGTTCCACGCAATGTGAAGGGTTGATATTTAGGTATATAATATTATATATATTTTTAATGTGCCGAGTATGTGTAGTAAAATTATAAAAAAAAAATCTCGCGAAGAGATTGTCGAGGTCGTCAAACGCGATTCGTGTACACGCATATTATGATATATATTATAATATACACAAACACAACGGATATAGAGTGTACTATATACATGTGTACACGGTACATATTATAATTTATAAACAATATAGCTGGGGTCTCCAAACATATTTTACCAGAGAGTTATAATTAACTAAAAAATCTTTGTGGGCCAAAGAATTTGATACCTAATCACGTTTATAATTTATAATATAGTTTTATAGACATTTCAATGACACAATAGCTGCAGCCTGCGAGTATTCACCGGTTGTTACCAACGGTTTGTCAAGAGACATTTAAATTTCGAGAATAGTGTATACTCGTAGACGTGTATTTTCCCTGTACTGAAACGAATTTATCGAAGTTTAGGTAAAGGTATTGATTGCAGGACTATAATATATGTGTATGCACGTTGTACCTATTTCATAAACAAAAGAAGGATAATATTCGAATAGTTTATTTTTGGATTTTTCTCGGCAGTTATCTACTGGCCTGCGGGTCTATTTTGTGCGTCGCACAAACGACTTTTTTGCACTGGAAAAACTCAAATAATTTCCGTATTGGCGTACGGAAAATTCTAAAGTACGAAAATATAGTTCGCATGGAGTACCTACAAAACAATATATACCTCCTATAGTCAAAACTTGTCTGCAGGACGTAGTTTATGTACCATTGCTGCAGTAAATAATATTTATATAAATTGTATTCATGATTATACGTGCTACATGTCAATTATATTTTAACTCTGGACACTCGTTATTATCATCTACTAAGTAGGCTGTAGCGTTTTTAAAACAATATTTTTAAATATTATGTTCAACAGTCTGAAGTGCACTAGCTGTATCTATAGGTAACGCTGTCATATATTTTCCGAAAGAGTCTTATTATTATTATTATCATCTTGGTAATTTTTTTATTTTATTTTATATTGCTCTGCTTGAATGGTAACCACCACACAAAAACCGAACGGTGCAATGAAAACGAATCATTGTGTTTGAAATATAGGTATCTTCTGATTACTGATTCTTTTAGTTTTTTAAAAAAAATTCATTTTTTCGAAAAGTATATTAAAGTATTTATTAATATATTTATTAGATTGTTTGAAGCAATTACAACTTTTACCAAATTTTATCGCTGTATTTTTTTTTAAGTTTTTACATTTTTAATAAGTACATACATTTTTAATTTCATATTCTTATGTAGAATATTTTTCAAATGATTTTTATGCACTTATATGTTAAAGGTTAAAACTAATATCTAATTAGTTATAACACTTAAGTATACAAAAGGTCGGTAGATAAGTGGAACAAGTGAAAAACATTTCGCAGAGTACCTCATATGTACCACTCCACACGACCCACCGCTGCACTCATCACAATATTAAATAGCGTCCTATAATTAATTAACTATAGACAGTCAAAACTCGATTTTTACAAATAACGATTAACAATTTTATTTCTTATAATGAAATAAAAAAATTTATGTGGTCTCGTGGAAAAAGCATAAAACTTAAAAAACTATAACGATAAAAAACATTGAACATTTTTTTTTTTGAAAAAAGTTGTTTTGTCATGATTTTAAATTATCTAAAAAAGTTATACCTTGACAATTATCGAGATAGTACCTACTTATTATATATTATATTATGCATAGGTAGGTTCAGATAAAACCATCTCCACCATCTCCATGTGAAATCATCGTTCCTACATATCTATTGTATGTTATGTGTTGTACCTATATGGCTATATAGTGTATACGTATTATATGTAAAACGTACATTGCGCATTATACGGTCAATAATTGTTGGTATAATATTATTATAAATACGAAATACCTATCCATGATGATATGATGACGTACAACGCAGTAACGAGGGCCCGTCAATGTGCAATTATTATTATATATTGTTCTAAAATATATGATTATTAATGGCCGGCGAAACGATTATTGCGGATAATATATTATAATAACCTGTACGCGTTCACCTACCTGTTAACAGCACCCCCGCTCACCACCGCCAGCACGCGTGTGATTAGGCGCATTACGGTCGCAATAAGGCGTATTATATTATTATTATTATTATTCGAATTATAATCTTGAGCGGGCACACCGCAATATTATAATTATTATAGAATCATTAAATTGTTATATCGACACGATGACAAGTGCGCACAAGTACAACGCGCAAGTCTGATGTAAGTATAATTATCACGTGACGACACCTATTATACGGGAAGATTATGTGCGGTTTAACGTTTGTATTGTAATATTATATGATATACGGGGTGATTCGCAGAGCATGAGTTCACCCCATTTGTCTCCTTCAATAGTTCAGTTATTCAAAATATGACTTCGGAATTTTCAAATATAATACCTTAGCACCTACTACCTGCCTACCGCTATTAACGACAAATATTTTTGTTCAAATTCTCGAGATTTTTCGTAGCAACCAATCAAGGAACCAACCAAACTCTTGTTTTTCAAACGACAACCCCCCCCCCCCCCCCCTATTCCACTGCAAATTATTTAGCTGATATTTTTTCTGAAAACGCCGACGTATCAAAATCGAAAATCAATCATAGTTATATTATTATAATAATTATTATAATAATATAATTAAGTATAGTTTTTGAGTTATGTAACTTTATGTTTACTAAGGACAATAGGCCCATCATGGACCCATTATCGTAATGGGTCTGCAAGATAATACGAAGGGCTATGGTAGTTTGTAAATCATGGTAATGTATATTAATCTATCAAAGTTTAAAATTTATAAAAATATTGACCATGTATAATGAATACAAGATCCAATATAATATCAATTTTAAATTTTAGGCGAACATGCTTGGTGAATCGCTCTGTACATTGACGGGCTGATGTATGACGCAGTATATTATTACGATATTATGCGATATCGTCGACTATAAAATATGTTCGGCGTGCTTGTACCTAAAGTCGGCGAATAGATTTCAACGATTTTCCCCATTTCAAATCTCGCCTTCGTCGTACGCACACCTCATCGTTTATACATTATACATCAGTACATCAGGCCGAGGGACGACGTAAGTAACCGTATACATAAATATGAATATATTTTACACAATATTATACGGGTATCGAGAAATTAGACGTCAGTTATTACCGCACGAAAAACCCTATTCGTACGACGCGCACAGTCATCGGATTTAAACTCATCGGTGTGATATCATATTATCATTCATTATTCGATATTAATAAATTCTAATAGTTGAAATATTATACGGTTCTCACAAAAAAATATAGAGCTCTCATCGCGCCTCAGCGGTGGAATTTTTGGTTATATAATCGTGCAAGACGTACACTTTTTGAATCTGGTAAAAATTATTTTCGATAAGAGTCGAAGTATTATGGGAGATTCGAATTATTGTGCAGATTTATAGTAATATTAATAATAATAATAATCTATACAGGCAGTGTGATTTTTTATGTTTCAAAAATATTTTTATTTAACCTACACCCACATAATATTATAATACCATTGGAACAAGTACTATAGTGTATTTATAATCAATGATAGTACGCATGAATTTAAACGTGCTGCATATTATTATGTTTTTTGCACGTATAAATCCGTATACCACCATACCAGTAAAATTATAAATGCCATCTACCATCAATCATCGTATTAATCAATTATTCTTGTCGTCGACATAAATTATATGAGCATACTTGCATAAATCATAAAACATTTCAAAACAACTGCGATGAAAAAACCAGACCTTTCGAGAGTTACTAAAGTCTGCAGGGCGGGGTGGACGATGTCGTGGACGTTTGTGTGTGGGCGGACGATGCCGGGGACGTGTGTGTGTGGGTGGACGATGCCGGGGACGTGTGTGTGAGGGTGAACGACGCCTGGTATAATGTGTGTGGGTGGGGATCGCTTACCGGGTAGATAGTATTATTGTTTGGGTATATATTATTATAAGATCATGTATATGCTTAACATTGTAGTCCACATTGTCAACACGATAACAATGTGTCGTAATTAATCGTAATATAGAGTTAATTACATAGGCGAATCGACCGGCACGAGCGGTCTTATAGCTATTTGACGAACAGATCTTTGAGCGACGAACAGATGGACGTGTCGCACGTGCGGGCGGGCGTGCTCGGGTCGGCGGACGTTTTGGCGACGGGCTTGCCGCCAGACGGCTGCTGCTGCTGCTGCGACGGGTGTTCGTGGTGCTCGCCGTCACCAGTCGGCGACGCGTCGGCGCTGTCGCCCGACTTCTTGGCCGCCAAGAAGCCCTCAATGGCCGTGCCCAACACCTCGGCGTTCACCACCGAACCGGTGGGCCGGTCCCACACCACTACGTCACCACCGTTGGGCGCCGGTTTCTTGTCGACGGACGACGACGGTGGTGGCGGCGGTGGCGGTGGCGGGGACAGCGGTGTCGTGCAGTGCTTTTCCGGTTTGCAACCGGACGACGGATCTATCAACAGCGACACCTTTGGCCGTTCGTCGGCGAACGTCACGACGACGGGTGACTTTTGCACCACGTACTCGCCGCCGCCGGCGGTGGCCAGACGCTGTTCCGCGCACTCGGCGTCGGCCCCCCGCTGCCCCGCCGCCATCGACACAGCGGTCGCCGTCCGGGTGGACATTTTCCTGAACCAGTTCCTGGTGCTGTTGCCCGCAGCCGCGGCCGCCATGGCCGCCGCCGCGCCAATGTTGGCCACGTCCACGCTGTTCGACCGGCCTGTCCGGAGCACGTCCCGCCGACGGTCGCCGCCGACGACGTCGCCGACCACGCCGGTTGGCAGGCTGTCAGTGGTCTTGCTGTTCACCCGTTGCCGCGGGCCGCCACCTTTGGTCGACTGCAACGCTTTGGTGGCCGTCGACTTCAACGAGTTCATAATCGACAGCAGATCCGTGTTCGTGCACACTATCCCGGACGATTGGGCCGCAGCCGTTGACGCTGACGATGGTTTGCCGGCCTGCGGCGTCAAGTTGGGAGGCAGCTCCGATGCACGTCGCCGGGCCGGTATGGGCGGAGCGATTTTTTCGCACACGTCGATGTTGGAATACCTCCTGGCCTCCTTGAACCTGGGAAAAAAATACGACGGAAAGTGTTCATATTATATTATATTGTTTTTTTTTATATATATATTATAATATGGCTATGAGGCGTGCCGACACGGGGGGTGATCTTGCATCTTGAAATTTGAGTAAATAATGATCCATAATAATAATAATGCGTAGAAAATATAAAATATGTCCAGAGTGTGAATATACATGGCTTTATATAATATATATAACGCAGAAATAATATTATGTTTTCACAGAACGCAGACACGCGACTATAATATATTATCAAAAACCTTATCGTTCTACTTAATTGAGCTACAGACTGCAGTACCAGGGAATTATTAGGAAATTTAAATAACAATATTTATAAGAATATAGAGTCGTATTCCGTCGCGGCCGTCGTTTAGCTCTAAACATTGTTTTTCGTTTGAATTGTAAACAGCAGCTCGGCATTATCGTTTCGTTATTCTGGACGGTTCACATATTTTGTTTACTCGAGCATTTCGGATTCTGCAAATAATTGTTTTGGCGACGTTGACGATTGATGTGGACCAATACGTTTATCGAAGCCGATTTATTAAAGTTGTATAGTTATGGTAAAAAGTCACGTTCCGGGTTTATTTTTTTTTTTAATACAAATTTGTTTGACGGCGCACTGAGTAGGCAATTTAGGTACATTTCGGTATAGGTGATCGGTTAAAGACTATTATCTAAGTTACACCGTAGTTATTGATTATTGTTTCCTAACAGAAATGTCAATTTCTTGGTACGAAATTGTATAAGCTACTTAACTACTGATTTTAAATAGCAGACGAAGTAGCCGAGCTCATTTCAAAAAGGTTTCCGACACCTTATCCATAACGCCGTCCTAATCCCCTTATCTCTGACCAGCATCCATTAGCCTTTTAGAAAATACTCCACGTCGCGTAAAACATGGCTCGGAGACCTCTTTAATGGCCAGCGTAATGGTATTAACTTAGGTTCCGTCAATGGAATGCCCCCTTTGTAACGTGCGCCTTATCAATTATTCATACCATTAATTCATCGAACAAATTTACATACACAGATTGTACACATTTTCAATATATAATTATAAAACCAGATATAAAAAAGTAAGTGATTTCTAATGATTTTTATAACTAAGACAAATAGTGCGTATTAAGGGAGTCGAAAAACAGTTTATTTCACTAATTGGAGTGTCTTATAAAGAAAAAAAACATTGGCTGCTTCTACAGTTGTACGCCTTAAATAATTTTATCGGACGCTATTTTTTCTGGGCACCATTGTTTGCAGGCTACTGATAACAATGGACAACACTAAAAAGATCTAATTTAACATAGGGGAAAAGTAGATAACTGTTCTGTTGGGCAGTTGTAGGTGTCGAGTGAGTAATTGAGTAAGTCACCAGTCATCATTATGTCTTAATTTTGAATTCAATGATACATTTTTTATACGAAAAAGGATTCTGAGCGGAGACGGTCTGGTGGCCTATAGTACTAAGTATAGTGTATGATGTATTCATATTGCTATTGTAGTAATTTATTTTACTATTAGTTATAAAGTAGGTTGAATTAATATTTTCCGAAAACATTGAATTTATTATATTATTAATAATAAATTCCGTAGAACGTGGTGATAAGGTTCGAGCGTAGTATAAAATATAACCAATAGCAAAAAAATAATCCAAATCCAAAATGTTTTCAACATATAGTTGTGTAATATAATGATCAACGTACCTAACATATTCAAGTCCTCACGAATAATATTTTTGAATTACAACAAAAAACTACAATCACGTTCTTCTTTGTTTAAATATATTATCAATGCCGTTCTAATTTTAACTTCAAATGTCTTAATAAAAAAAAAAAATTGTATATAAACATTTTTTAGATTTTTTATTATAGTAGAGGAACCTTGTATTAAATATTTTCTCTTTTACTAGGTGAACATTTTTTTTACTGACATTTATAGAAAATAAAATAATGTAAAATGTTTATAAATAGTTAAAAAAGAGAGTTAAAATATTTAGAAAATTTCATGATAATTTAAGTAACTATGGAATGTTTCTTCAAGTTTCTACGATTAATACTTTTTCAATCAGAACAAAGAAACTAAACTCGTTTGATGATGAGTAATCGTTATTTTACGCATGAATCTCCAATTTCGTTAAAATGTATATATGTTATTAATAATAGCTCCTATAAAATATTTCTGGAGCTACTCTAAATTTATTAACAACTCAACCCACGAGGAACTTTGTATTAAATTTTTAAGGTTTTGACTGAAATCGAAAACTACACAAGCTTATAATACTCACTCATAATGATTCAAAATATTTTGAAAATTATTTAGTATATTTAAATTTCTTATACATATAAAAAATAAATATTTAGTGACAATTTCAAATAAGAAAATCGATTTTGTCAAATATTCGTAATCAATAAAAAAGAAAAAAATACTGGGAATATTTAACTTTTAACCTCCCAAAGTGTACAACTATATTCATTTTCTTATCAGAAAAGACGTCCGAGTCGAAAATCTGAGTATTTTTGTTGCTTCAAAAGGCGATGACAGACAAAAAAAAAAAATACATCACTGTAAAATCAATACGTTCAGCGGAGCGCTCAGAATCTAAAAGCAGTGATTTTCGAACGTCGAGCAAATTTTGTGCAGCGCGTGACTGGACAGTCGCGGGTCGTAATAGAAACAACGCATGGCAACGAAAGAAAATTGAAAATAGTAATTATTACGCGAGATGAACGTCGTCGTAATATACGGTTGTTTTTCCTTCGAAATTCTATCAAAATTCGCATTTTTCGTGAATTTACCAAACGCTCGAAAACTCCGCTCGTACGTCTATATCGGTAGGTATATCTAAACCCATATAGGTATAATATAACCTAACCGCATCAACCGCAATAGCGCCTCTTGTATAATCCGTGTACCAGCCATATATTTAGTCTTTCGTATAATAAAATTATACTATTAAAATATATGCCACCCTCGATAACACCGCCGACTGTAAGGATTCGCACGAGCCTATATACAGACAGTTCCCTCGTTTAACCGAACGATAATCGAGTGTACATGATAAATATACTATTATAATACATATATATATAGAGCGAATATAATACATTATAAAGCATCGTCGTGCCTCTGCAGAGCCATCACCACAATCGTTTACACATTATTGCCGTCTTATCGGGGCCATTAACCACCCCCCCCCCCCACGACGACTAACGGATTTGTAGAGTTCGGTTTAGGGATGCTTTAATGATTATTATTATTGCGATACCATAGCAGCTAAAACTATATAGGTACACGGGGCGGAGGGCCCATCACAAAATATTGCCATAACAAACACGCTGTCCGTCGAAGTGAAATATTTCTCGGCGAGTTTATACTCACAGTTTTTATTTTTGTTTTGCTTTGTGTTCAATTGTTCGGAAGAAATAAAAATATCTGCGTTCATCTCTCCTCTTTGTTCGTTCGAAGTTTAAACCGAAAGTAAAAAAAAAAAAAAAAAAAATGGTTTTCTTAACAGAAATATTTTTTTTCCCCGTTGAAAAGTTACGGGTGAAAAATACCGTGCTATTATTTTATCGCATGCAACCGCATATCAAAGAGATTGCGGTACGTTTTGCTTTGGTTTTTTTTTTGCCTGTTGACAAAACGGTATATATTTTCCACTAGATTACAGATTTATATCCCGCCACCGACATACATGTATATATTATGTGGTAAGTACCTAGTGCGGGGGGGGGGATAAAATACGCAAACATTTTAAATTTTTATATTTTTATAAATAAAGGGTTGATACTATCTCGAGAGACATAATAATATTTACTTTCGTGCCGCATTTATATCTTACGGTAGTCTTGGAATATATTTATTAATTATTTTATTGAGAGTCTTACACTACAATATAATACTCGATGGTAATATCGACTCAGTAATTTTTTTCATTTCGCATAAATTATATTTCCAACGATAATTTTCTGTTTATTCACCGTAAGTATGTGATGATTTTAAATTATTTTTCATTATGTATTTTTGACAGTTTTTCGCATAAAAACGAAAACATACATAATATATATCACACGCAGTATTATACTATACGAGAGAATGTTAGGAATCTAACTTGATAAAAAGAAATAAAAATATTATTTCTCTTTCGAATTTTTGAAATGAATTCCATGTAAAATGTTTGTATATATATGAATAATGTGTATATTCCATTCCGTGTATAGAAACTTTGAATAGAAAACGTTGAAAAACTCATTTTACATTTATATATACCCCAACACCGCACTTTTTGCGTTTATTATAAATTTGTTAGTAATATTTTTATGTGGAAAAACTTTTAATGACAATTATCCTCGGAATGTTTTTGTACGCAAAACTTAAAATCATAAAATAATATTAAGGATATCTAAGTTTGTAACCGCAAATAGTAAGACGTATATATTACACATCGAAGTATTCGTCTTATTATAAATATAAGTTATTAGTTATAACTATCGTTAGTAGTAATCAGTCGATTTGATATTAACTATACACGTGTACATAACTTTATGTTTTGTTTTTAAAATTTTACTAATAAAAGAAATGTCAAAGGAAATAAAATTGCATTTCTGTTTGATTTGTAAACGCTCTGGGCATGATTAAATTAGGTACGTTCTAGACATTTTTTGAATATTGTTTTTACAGTAAAATTGGTTTCATGTTTCACTTCCAAAAAATGATTCTGTTTACATATCTTAATTGGCTAAATTCAATCAAAATCAATAAAATGTTCCTCTTTGATTAAAATAATATTGTATTTACGGTTTTCCTTTTTTTATTTTCTGTTTTTATTAGGCTATAAATATTTAATATAATGATTAATGATAACCTTGAAAAAGTTTTTTAATATTGAAATTTGCATAAGAGTATACTGTATAAGTGTATATTATTAGTTCTGGAGACATAAAAACAATGTCTTATGTTGGTAAGATATAAGTAAGTTTGTTAAAATACAATGATTTAAAAACTTAGTTCTATTTTACCGATTTAAAGTTTTTCATGTGTTTACATATGAAACATTATTATAATGTCTAACAAACTTTTTTACTATATTACGTCAAATTAATTATTAGTAAGATAATTCGGTTGTGTTCAGTAGAATAAATGTATTGTTTTATTATTGTTCTTACAGTTGGGTTATTAATGTGCTATACATAATTGATAATTTATTTTTAATAAAAAACTCATTATATGGGTTGAATTTAAAAACTGCAGGGTTGCTATTTAAAAAAGTTAAAGTAAAAAAAAAAATAATGAAAAAAAATTGTAAAAAATTGGGTTGCTACTATAGTTCTATAGCTGCTTACTACGGGTACATACTAATTATGGATCAGGTTTTTTTTAACGTACATAAGAATTTTGACCTAAGTGTTTTTTGGGTATTTAATGATTAAAAATAAAAAATATAAAAATAAATATTAAATACCTATTATTATGGAACTTAATTTTCCTTTTTATATTTATACAGATTGTGTACAGTAGCATCATCATTATTTACTATAGTTTATTGTTTTTTTTTTAAATCAATTTTGTCTTAAGTCTATTTTTTAAATTTTTGTTATATGTTTATTTTTCAAATTAATATTAATGCTCGATGCACAGCTAAAAACATATTTAATATTAATTTTTGTATAAATTCGAATTTTGTTGATTTTTAATCGTCATTATTAAATAGTCAATGATAATAAAATAATATGCTATGCATAATATTTGAAATTGATAAAAATGATCTGGTACTTAAAATATATAACTTGAATATAGCGTACAAAAATCTGGGCTGTAATTCGGATTACTCGTTTGCTCGTAGTCATCTTTGCAATGTACCTATCTAGTATACGCAGCTCAAAATTATACTTAATTAACTGCAAAATAATTTTGAATTTATTATACGGAAACAGAAAAGTTGACTGGGATAATGAAAATCACAATCTACGATAACCGTTAATTTACATCAAGTAAAAATACAAATAATATTCAGGGAATATATTTTTACTAAACATGATAGGAGTTCTTTAGTAATAGATTTCAGATTTGTAGATTATATGTATCGTAGATAAATATTGCATTTGAGAGAAAGAGAGAGCCTGTGTTTAATAGCTACGTTCACAAGTGCAGTTCTTGAAAATACACAATTATTTAAATGAAAACGTGGATGAGTAATATAATATACATAGAACTCCGAAAAAGTTTTCAATACAATCGCGTAATGCCGACCATATATATTAATAATATAATGTTATTCATAAAGTTTATATACTTTCGTAAATATAAACCCACGATAAGGCTGTGGGTTTTTTTTTATTTTTCATTGGTTGTTAATGAATTCAATTGACGTTTAGAAACTTTGCTGGTTTGAAACACAATTGTATACAATACGGTAAAATATATTAAATATGTATATAAGGCCATTTAAATGGCTACAGTAATTCTTTTTGGCGACTTGAAAAATAAATGATTTTATATATAGTTTAAAGTATTTATACATTTTACGAGGCACCCCTTGCCACTTCACACCACTTAAATAAACTTCCATGGCTCATAAATAAAAAAAACTATATTTTGTACTCATAATAACGATGATTAAATACATCGACATTTTTGATTAATACTTTCCTTCGGGTTACAAAAATAAAAAAATTAATTTGTCATTAAAATATTTTTATTACCTACCTATAGAAATTGTAAAAAAAAACAGTATAATTTTAGGTATAGACTGAGGGTGATAATAAAAAAAGTAATGGACACAGAAAACGAGTGTTAGCACTTAAACAGATCATTTAGTATATAATAAATTATAATTGAATTGTTTTTTGTGGATTAGTGGATTGAGTGTTAAGTGACATTTTTAAAACTTTTCACCCCTGTATCCATGTTATGCACATAATGTTATCATTATTGTTATCTCCTTTATCAACTTGTGTATCCCTGAAAATAATGATTCAACTGGCTCACAATTTTGCTATAATGTGTGTACCTATTTATACTATAAAAGTTCCTTCCATACAACGATAAAAGTTTTTAATAAGAATTTCACTTAATCCTTCAATTTCCCGGGGCAGGTATACAATATATTCTATCTTAGAAATGTTTCCACAAAACTTATGATATTAGGCATAATATTATACTGCGAAATCGTGTACCTGGACATTTGCTTGTTTTCACCGTCCATCGACTGGAGCTCGCACATCTTTTCCTTGTCCTCGGTTTGCCACATCTTCATCCTGACCTTCCGCGCCGCCTTGATGTCCGCTATGTCGTCCATGATGTCCAGCTGCAAGTTGAACTGGCTACCCGTGGGAGACGGCGTGGCGCCACCGGCCGAGTCCCTGCGGTTCACCCTCGGACCCTTGCTGGGGAACGCTGCAATCGATTCGCGCCTGTTGCGGCCGAACAACGGCATGGGCGCCTTGGATATCGTGATGACCGAATGTCGGCGACCCGGTGTGTAGGGTCCCGGGGCCTTGGTCAACGTGGCCAAGAACGCCTGTTCCCTGGCAGCCGCACCGGCAGCTCCCTGATCGCTCAACCTCCGCACCTGAAGCAGAACCGCCACAAAAAAAAAAAAAACAGGTACAATATAGACGGAAATGGCTTATCCGAAGGTGTACCTATCCGTCATAGTTTGCATGTGACGGGATAGGACGTGACTCATTCTTTTTTTTTCAAGCTCACAAAACACTTGGTAGAAGGATATTCCAGTGATATTTTACTGTTTATTTTAACCTTCCTATTTTGACAGCTTTAATGTTACAGAGACACAATTATAAATACACAAAAAACCAAACCTAAATTTCTACGGGTTGATCCACCAAGTCACCCACCCCCCCACAAATACGTAACCGATTGTTATTATATATACTATAGCCACTTTTATAATACTTTATACATATATATATATAGGTTAGTGTATGATAACCGAACGCTTGCAGGTTCCGTCAGTGAGTATACTCACGATTTTTTTATAATTCTTTGGGGAAATATTTTACTGCCCTTATTTTTATTTTACCATCCTCGTATTTTATAACATGTCTGTTGGTGAACTACTATCGATTTCTAAGTTTTCTAAGTTTCAAGCGGCAACTTTTACAGTTATACATTTAATTTCATATAATCTGGAACTAAATAATATTCTCAGAATGTTTTGGTTACCATTTAAAAATCAAAAGTTCTTAGTTAGTAAACATAATAATATATGAGCTAACAAAATAAGGAATATAATATAAAAGTTAGAGTTGTGCGGATAATTAATTTTCCAAACAGAAAACTTCGAATAAAGTCAACATTTTTTGAAACATCAAGTGTTCACTGTTAAAACAATCTCTCTGTTTAGTATATTATTTTTATGTTAATAATAATATATATTAAAACTAACTGAGGAGATTTAGGATATGAATGTAAGTATTTTAGGTGACATAATAAAACAATTTAATGAAAGTGGTTGAGTTCAAGATTGTGGTTCGACATGCATGCTGGGAAAATCTGGCCCATGTTACAATAACCTTTATCGGACAGGACAATTTGTCCGAATATTGGCTAACAAACTATTAATTTTTAAAAACATTTATGACATAAGACGTCGAGAAATTCGCAAGATAGATAAAAAAAAATAGAGTGCATATGCCAGCTTTTATATATATATAACGACACTATAACATATATTATATAAGATTAATCGATTAATGCAATCTCTTAGAATAATAATATGGGTAGATAGTTCCATAATGATTATAATATAATGTAAAAATATAATATAATATAATAATATTCAAAATAGGTATTCATATTTTGTTTTTATAAAATGTAATACTCTGTAGAGTATTCCGACAAGTTAATCCGATAGTACTCAGGTCCAACAATATATTATTATCTTATAAGAATGTGTCGGATTATCGAAATGGATTCTTGTACTATTTTTATAGATGCACAGTGCACACTACTGTAAAATACGTTGGTTGGTAGGTATACTGTTTTATTTACGAACTGAACAAAACATTATTGATGTTCCACATACCTACTGTTTTATGTAATTATTTAGAACAAACACAAACGAACGATTTCGTGGACTAAAGCAGTGTTAAAAGTCTAATTTGTATCCATATATAATATTATTGTCTATTCTTCAAATCGTTACGGTCGGAGATAACGTACTTTATTGATAATAATAATAGTAAATGCACACTTAGATAAACGGAATCTGCAATACAACCAATATAACTAGAGTTGCATCATTTCACTAAAATTTATGAAATCCCGCAAATGATCAATCTCTGGTGCTCCCCTCGTCTCGAGTTGTCCAGAAAGTCTGAAGTGATTATCAAAAAACTTAGGGTTGGTCACACAAACGTGTCACATTGTTTCTTAATGGCCGAATGAGGACACCCCAAGGTGCACCTCCTGTGGGGATCATATTGCACAAGCAAACTTGTATTCTCTACATCGAATACATTTTTCACTGTCGACAAACCTTTCGATACGCTCAGGACAGAGAAAATTTAAAAGCTTCCGGAATCATTGGCCATATCGTTTAATCAGGACTTTGGACCCTGCCTTAACCTAACCTTAAATTTATCGGCATTGATAATTCATACACAACATACTATAATATATTGCACCTATCTTTTAACGAGTTATTTATATCATGTAACACCCATTATGTATTTGTCGACGGAAAATTATTATGCGTAATCTGTGTGTAAATCGATATATTATTATTCACAGTTCAGCGCGTTATATATTTTATAAAATCTATTATAAATTATAATAATATAATATAATAATTTATACGTTTTACATAAGAGGTGTCGAAGTTTTGAAAACTAAATACATAAATTTGAATTTAATTAGTTTTAATTGCATACAAAAATAATGTAGATGTATTAAAATATTCGTAAATATCAAATTATTACATACAATACAACACATTGGCCAATACCGCTGAGTATAGAAATATGGAATTATATTATAAAATAATTATAATTTTTCGACGAACATTAATCATTAGGTACCACATTTATTATATAAATATAATATACCTATATAGACATTTAGTTTAAATAATATGTATAATGTATATACTAAAAAGGTATTTTATGGAAATTTTCGTATTTCGGTGTATTTATTTCAAGAATAAAGCTTCGTTAAAAATATATACCAAGATAATATCTGGGGCCCAACTTAAACAACGTTTTTTTTGTTGCAAATATATTTATATATATATACTATAAATAATAAATATATAAAATAAAACAACAATCAACCAATAGTATTAGCTGCATTGTCGTGATGGCAAGGGAACAACTACTCGAGGGTTTGTAAAAGTGAAGAAACTTTTTTTTTAAACAACGAACAAATACAATTTCAAAGTATCATGAGACGTGCTGTTGAGTCAATAAAATGCAATTAATACTTTCCCTAATTTGTACGATTAATTAGTATTACAACAATAATCGAAATGTAGTATAACTGCATGCAAGAGTTGAATAATATAATTGTTGTGAGCAATTCATTCAGAAACAGCAACTTTTTTAATCATTGTATTATTATTTTTAATTATATTTTAAACGATAACAGTTAAAAAGTAACCAAAATTACGTTAAACTCGAATAACAATAATAATGATTATAAATAATTCTTTATAACAGTTTTGTATTAGAATTGGTGTTGATGCCATATCGAATATTAGTAGCATTATATACTACGTCGTCGTTGTTAACAATGTTGACATACATAGTTTTACGAACTTGAAACAAAAATAGATATAATTGGTGGTATAGTTTTTCGATTAGAGAGACAGAAAATTATGATTTTAAAGCATTTGTCGATCCACAGTAAAACAGTTACGCGGGCCGTGGTTGGTTTGTACCACACAACTACTCAAGTATTTATTTAACGATAGTGGAATTACTAATTTGACTTGTAAGCATGCAGCGGTTCGTATTCCTATGCTAAATCTAATACAAATAAAATAGTTTAGGTAGGTACATATTGTAATATTATTCATATGTAAAAATATTGAACTACCCTACAACCATGGTTATTTAATTCGATTCGAAAAAAAAGTGGAAATCAGAATAGTATTTGATATTTGATATAATTTTAAATTAATGTTTATAATAGTATTAATAGAAAATATTTAAGTTTCTCAATGATGAATATTTTTTAAAATTGATTTGAGTTGCACTCTTCAAATAACGTTTTGTCAAATAGCTATTAGTTATATTATACTCAAACGTGATTTTGAGAAATGATTTAGTAAAATGAACTAAGTAATTTTTTCATATTATGCATATTTGTATCAATATATACACTGTCGATTCGTTACAATACCCATTTTCAGGACCGGATTTTCCCATATTTTACATTTACGCGCTAATAAAAATAAAGCACTCCTATATAGGTATTGACGGAAAAGGGTGAACACACGCATCCCATTTATTTTAAACATGGGATACGTTTGTCATATTTTTTTTTTATACCTACCTAGTACTAGGTATATGAAAATGTATTACAGTTTAACTGAAAATCATTTAAAGTAAAAAAGCATATTGCTCCATTTTCACTGATTTTGTAACATAATCTATAATCATAACGGGGAGAGAAAAGAAGAAATTTAAAATTTAAATTGGCATGATTTTAAGTATTAGTATATAAAAACCAGGGAAGTAGGTCTGCTATGTATTGAGTGTGTTGAGTGTACCTTGGCAAGTGGGCACCGCTCTGCTGTACATAAGTATTGTCGTGTGTATGTGCAGGGCTGTCCTGACGATTTGCGGGGCCCAGGGAAGAGTAAAATTGAGGGGCCTAAAAAGTTATTACTCATTATCGCCAGTTGGTAGTGGCATATATTTAATATTATGCTAATACCTATACTGGGTGATTCTTTTATCAAACAACACTCATTATTTCAAAAAGTGTAAATTTTTTTGAAAATATTTTTTTACATAGTTTCAAGTCGCTTATAAAACAACGTTTTTATTAAAAAATTATATTTTTAGTTATTTTTTATCCTTATAATTTTTATAATGATTAATATAATTTTTTAATAAAAACGTTGTTTTATAAGCGACTTGAAACTATGTAAAAAAATATCTTCAAAAAAATTTACACTTTTTGAAATAATGAGTGTTGTTTGATAAAAGAATCACCCAGTATACCTATGTATACTTAAAAATATATTACCTTGTACTTACAACAATTATTGTTATTTATATTATATAAATGAGTAAATAAATTAATAACAAAATACGTCATTATATTTAAACTTAATATAATAATATTTATAAATTAATAAGTCTATAAATAAAAATTTCTCAAGGATATAACCAGCTCAAAAATAGTCAAAATATTGTAAAAATATTGTAAAAATGTTTTATGGAAAATACTTATATAAATATTTGTTGAAAATGTCAAGGTTCTACAGTCATTCATTTTTGAGTTAAGCCAAAAAAATAAAATCTTTTTCAAAAATTGGTTTTGTATAAAAGTTACTTCTTTCTTTTGATTTTAAAAGTAAAAGTACTTCAAATTTTGAATTTTGAATTCCCAAAAATACCAAATAGTCTCACTTTTCTATCAGTAAATATGCTGATCTCGAAAAGCGGAGCACTTTTACTAGGTACCCAAAATGTGGCTTACAAAACAGAAAAAAAACCCACATCATTCTAAAATCAATATATTTTTTAGCTCCACTGAGAATTTAATATATTATAAATTAACCTTCCTACGTTTTAAATTATCAAATGTGTCAATAAAAATATAAATTTTAATTAGTCAGAATTTTTTTTCCATAGGTATTATAGCTAAGTTGGTGCTTTGTTTTGTGACAGTGGGCTTTGAAGATAGTTATTTTTATAATTTTAATCATATTAACTCGTTTAAAATGCGATACATTTATTTGACGTCAATTAATATAAACAGTAGGTTTAGGTAGTAAAAACTACAACAATTGAATGTATAAAAATATATATAAATGATAAATTTATTTTTTGCTCATTTACTTGACTACTTTTTTATTTTATCTATAAAAGGGAGCCTGTCCAACCTTGGCGAGGGCCCTGCTCGCAGTGCACTAGGGACGGCCCTGTGTATGTGTTCAATTTTAATTCAATGATAAAAATCATTGTATACGAAAAACGATTCTGAGCTGAGACGATTTGAGAGCCTATATTACTAGTTATATTATAATATGTTTGTGATATTGTCGCTATTAAAGTAATTTATTTTACTACCTATTAGTAAATACAGTAGGTTGAAATAATTTTTTTTCCTCAAACTTTGCATTGAAAAATACCATTATGTATAGTGTATACAATATAATATAATGATAGGTAAGTATACTTTAAAAGTTTCAAGCGTCTACGAATAATACTTTTAAAATACAAAACAATAGCTGAAATCATTATTCTCCGTTTGAATATCTAATTTCGTCCAAATGTGAATTTAAAATAAATTATGTAATTAAAAAAAAACTGTGTGTATATAATTTTTGGAGTTTTTGGTTACATTACGAAGTATTGATGAGAGCCCTTATTTTAAATTTACAATCCTTAACTATAATAATTGAACATTTAGATTTTAAACTACAAATTAATTCGCAAATTTTCAATTTCATAATTTTTGTCAATATTTGAACATTAAATTTGTATAAAACAAAATCATACATATGTATTTTATTATTATTAAGCTACTATTGTAAAATCCTATGAGGAACTTTGTATTATATTTTCAAGGTTTTTGAACCAACAGGAAAAATTTTATAGAAAAAAAATTGATATTTTGAAATTATTAAATTATTAAAATATTTCAAATGTCTATAAATGGCCCAACAATTGTTAAAAACTGTATCATGTATGGAAAATTATAAAATACACAATTGGTGAAAATGTCTAGTATTCATATGGTTATTCGTTTTTAAATTACAACACAGTAAGAAAATCGTTCCAACATCCAATGTCAAAAAATTTGAACTTCAAAAGTTCATAAAATAATAACTCGTCTTAGAGACTTAGACTTTTTTTTAATGTTTGGGGATGGGTAATCTTTTCCTGTGTGTACCGGCGTACCGCCTTACGTATTACTAGGTACCAAGACATCTTACGTTTGTGAATTTACTAAATAGAAAAACTCAATTTAATTCAAAGTTTAACACTTAAATAACTGATTGCAGCATTGTAATATAATGTGAACAATTTGTCTTTAAGTCAGTTTTAATGAGAAAACCATTCTGCAAGTTAAATTATATTTTTCACGATTAATCGCTGTAAGTTAAGTCCATAATTAAAAATTAAGCAAACAAAAATCTGAATACTATGGAGGTAATATTCTACAGATCATATAGATGTATCTTATGTACTTATTATCTGTTACATTAGATGTACTTATGTTATTGTTGATTTCGTTTAGTATGGTTTGTATGAAAAAAATGTTGCTGCCGATTATGAAGGAAAAATTGAATTATTTAATCATTTTTATAAATTACTTGACTAGCAGTTATTCCAGATGTGCATTGCGGTGTCGGTAATGAGCGTTTCCTCATGTCTCTGAAAGGTGACAGGAAAAAAGGGTCCTGCGGAGGAGTATCGGGACATCCTTGCCCATTTCCGGCCACATCATCTATATCTTCGTCTTCTTCATTAAAACAGTTTTCTTGATCCACCACAATTACCGGCTCAGATTCCATTTTGGTATTGAGGTTCTCTGAAAATGAAAAGGAAATTATAAAATTTAATAACTGACTTACATGTACCTACGTTATAATATTCATATAGCTTATAATGTAAATATAAAATCAGTTAAATTTAAAATGCGCTCGGCAATCGGCTGGAGGTTATTTATGGGTTTAAAGAGATTTTGTAGATTTTAGACGATTCAATAAATACATAGACAGCCAATTTCTTGTAAATGGTTTTTTACGAAAGGAAATAGTTCAATACCTAGTTATAGAATCTACTCAGGAAGCTAATTTAGCATATTTTTTTTGCAATTAATTCGCTCTAATATTTGCTTAAATAATTACCTCTATGGACTTGTTGTAAATTTCTACACTTATAAATATTTATTATAAAACATGCGCAGTCTTAAATGGCACGATCGCAGTAAATCGTAATTTTGAAACATTTTTTTTTTTGCTTTTAAGTAACCATTGTTATAGTGTTGTACAATGCTATTTCTTTCGATTTATTAATCACGTTTGTGACTGTGTAACGGTTGACCGTTTATATTCACAAACTTCAGACTAGTTTTTTTTTTAAAAGACCATTTATCATACCGTGTAATATTATTATAATAACGTTTTTGAAATATCCCTTCAAGATGCATGGCCGAGTAAAACGACACGTTTGTTACGATTAAACAGTGTTATTTGTATTTCTCTAGGTGCGTTGGAAAACTGTGGTATAATAATAAAGGCACCTTGGCTAGAAGTACTTTATCAACATGTTGGTTTTGACGTATATACAGAAGTGTTACATTGCATGTCGACTAGAAATTGTTACCTTAACTATAATAATATCAAGCGAATAAAGTCGAAATTATACGCTGCGTGGTAAAATAAAAATGTCTTACTCAAATTTTATTTATAATACATTACCATATTATTATTATTATTATTATTACTGCCCTGTTTAATCAATACTCTTGAAACTAAATCATTAAAAATAAAATGATCTAAATATTATAATAATTGTTGTGGTTTAAGGTCATGGTAATTGTACTAGGCAATCAGTTTTTGCAAATTCATAGATTTTTATTGTTAAAATGAAATACTCCTTAAAAGCACGTCGTTAAGTTTAAATCAAAACGATCCAGTTATTTTTAAATTTAATTACGACGATACTAAATATTTTCATTGGATGACCATTATAGGTAATGTATGCCTATTTATTGAGAAAAAATATAAATCCAATTTTTTTAATAGATGGCTTCAATTTAATGGTTTGTAGGCTTAGTAGGTATAGATAGGTAGTATGGCTTACACTTATATTGGATAAGGAAATACAGCTAACACGCTGCAAATTGTAATGTTAAAAATAACTTTTATGGTGACTTACGAAGAAAAATTATTTGTCCATCATCTTACTTCAAAAAAACAAATAATCTGTTATAACTAATAGGGGGAATACATTTATGATTTACTTGGTGGATTTACGTGGCAATGAAAATATTATCACTCGAGTGAATTGAAGTGTATCATAACTGACATCTGTACCCATACTGTTCAAGTTTATTTTTTTTTTTTATCGATACAGCTGGCATTATGTTTCTTCAAATTGACGAATGAAACAATTCGGAAATCCACGCTATTATTCATAAATATATAGGTATTTTTTATTTTTTGAATTGATTTAAGCTTCTCAAAAGAGCTGGCTTATATTTTGAATGACCGTAATCTGTTGGTGATAGTTGTTGTTGTTGTTGTTGTACAAGTTCTCAGCCGGATACAATTTTTAATTAGCGACGAAATGAAATGTAACGAGAAAACTGATAAAATATAAGGATTTATCCTGGTATAATCCAAAAGGTTAAAAGGATCATCAACTAATTTAATATACGAAAAGGGCGAAAACAGTGGCTGTCTGACGTCGTGGATAATTCTGAGTGTTATTTAATTGCGTTTCGTTGGCGGTAGTCGGATATTAAATTATGCCGACGTCGCTGATGTGGTGGAGCTGTGTCGTTTTCCGAAAAATCATTACGTTGCATATCACGCACGGTCATTGGTGTACACACTCAACACTTACCTAAACCCTCGTGTTATTATAATATAGCGATATCATAGCCGTCTACAGAAATCAGGATGTTGTCAGCTGGTAAGAGGATGTTGATCATTAATAAATATTTGTGAGTCGAAAAATGCGCATGATACGTACCATACATCTACCGATTTGTTTTTTTTTGTGCGAAAGTATTATTACATACATCTACCTCTACATAATATATACAATATATATATATTACAATATATACATAAGCCACATACGTGTATTCTCAGATCCTCTTTATGTATTTTGTAAATAATAATATACATGTATTGAGCGCGCATGTGGATTTGTGTGTACTTTAACTTTGTGTTTGTTAGCACTCAGTAAATAACAAATAATCCACTCTGACAAAATCTGTTTATAAAAGATTAAAACGTCAGAAAAATGTTAACAATTACACTATAGACTACTATTTCTTATTTGACATAAATCGATAAATCTAATATATAATATATAAAATAAAGTCTACATTTTAGATAGAATGTAAGGCGAGGACTTGATGTCCGTCCAAATATAAAAGCATACCTATGGCGACTGAAATATGTGCATTGTGCAGAAATTAATAGTGAAGTTATACTTTGCATAACCAATATTTACTATACCTATATTAACTTGAAAACATATTTTTATTCTTCTAGTAGACTATCTCTCTCAAATTCCGTAACTACCAATCGTTCTTATCCCGTTTCCCTCTACAGCATCATGTTTGATATCAGTCTGTAATTAATCTAATTATTATATTCTTCATTAATTTACCGGCTTTGTAACATAATTTGTAATGATCTTTTTTTCATTTTATCTTTCTAACGGTTAGACTCTAACCAAACTGTTTTAATTACCTATCGTAATATGTATAGATCGTAATAGCCATTCACCAAAATGTAAATAATAATATTAAAAAATTTAAATTAAAACTAAAATAATTTTTGGAATTAAAGTATTGTAAATAGGGATATGATTTTATAGAACAGTTAAAAATTATGCATAATACATTAATTAAATTTAAATATTCATATGCACTAAAAATGTGCCCAAATAATGTATTTTACTGAAGTTCTACTAGACAGTGTCAAGTGACTAGAGCCTAGAGTGTACACAAAACATTGAAAACAGATTGTTTATACATAGTAAAAAATATTTACTGTGAAAAATAATTACTAAAAACTATGAAGATAAAATAGATAAGAAGTTGACTAAATACATATATTAGATAATATATCATTTAAAGTAGATTATACTGTATTACGTGAATTAATAATTTATAATAATATTTTATATAATCCCTACACTGAAACGATGAGTACGGCGAACGTACTTTTATAGGAAAGTTATTGACGATCTTTTATAATCTACAAGTTTATCTATGATATAGATAATTAAAATATAAAAATCGTAAATCAATGAAACATGACGAATAATATGATCAAAGAACTATAATATAATATATAACTGTGCAAAACCTATACGAACACTAGTAAAATTTATAATTGAAATACTTTGTATCAGGACACAAATGTTTGAATTCTTCATAATTCCGTCGTAGTATTTTATGAAAAAAAAAATGAAAATACTAAAATGTTGTTAGAAAATTAAAACTATTTATTAACCACTAGATTCACTGTTTATGGTTTCTTAATAATTACCATGCAGTTTATAACAAAATCATCGTAATGACAATTATTATATAAAAAAGTAAATATATTCTCTAAAGATAAAGTTAACTCTAAACACCAGTTAGGTCATCACCAACGGATAATATTTTTTATAATCATTACTGTTAAATGTTTAAGAGCATAATCAGTAATTTTTAGCACGTAGATATTTCGTCGTCAGGTCGTGTAACTGAAAATCACGTAGGTTGTAGGTGTATCACAAAGTTTCACAAACTCTGTCTCTTATAATAACATCATCTGTTATAACCTTCAAGTGGCATGATTTCCTTGCATGATTATGCACAAGTTAAATAGTAGCCAGTTAGTTTACATTAACCCCATTAACCGTACAATATTATAAGTATTTCAGTAACATAATTATATTATATACTACATTATACTCTTACTCTTATACAATAGTTGAATATAATAGTGGTAAATTTATATTACGTTGAAAACACGCGCTGCAGTCAAATAAAATAATAATATATTCGTAATAATATAATACTATATTGTATGTCTGTATGTATAATATAATATTACACGTGCACTCACTTATTTATACAAAAAAAGTTAGGAAAGCTCACTCTGCGAGCTTTCTAAATTCCCGGTTTCTAAACTTAATTTTAATACAATGCAATATACTATAATACATTCCATACACAATTTAAAAATAATTATTTGGTAACCTTTATATTTTGTTGCGCAGTTTTTAATACCTATTGGTTACTATAAATCTATATTAAATAATCATAAATTTACTCCGAATAGAATAGCTGTGTGGTCATAAATTGTTAATTCAAACAATCGTAACTATGTACAACTGGTAACTAAAACGGATGGACGAACACAATGGGGATATCTATAGGCTATAGAAGTGTTCAAAAAATTATGTTTGCAAACAACTAAAATTGAGATGTACTTAAAATTATTCTACCATTGCACTTACCACGACATATTTCGATAACATAAAAATCCGGTTGCTACATTAAATAAAATTACATATTATATAATTATAATATACCTATAAGTTTAGAACACCGCTTATATCCTCGTTGGGTTCTTCCGTCCATTGAGGACTAGAACATAGTTAAGATTGTTTGAAGTATATTTATTTATCGTCCAAAGTTACTGTACATATTTACGATTGTTTGTATTAAAATTGTTTAAGTGACAGTTCTATTCGAAGTAAATTCATACCAATATAGACAGTATTAATACATATCAAAATGTGAGTATTTGATATAGATTCATATTTCATAATACTA